AAAACTAATAAATAAAGTGATCGTTTTTACTTGAAGTGCATTTAATTTTTTTCTCCGGCGCTTTGCCTACTTGAAGTTTAACCAGTTACTCAGAAAAGTTACCAAATATTACTATTTGTTACTTTACTGTCTCTTTCATTATCTCAAAAAATGTTAAAATTCATCAAAATTGTATGTTTATTTTCTTTCTTTATGTATTAAATTCGGACTTGAGAAACAGTAAAGAATCTTATTTAAAAAAAGAGAATGCAGGAAGAAGAAAACCATTAAGCTTTTAAACGTTTTGCTTTTAATCTGAAGCTATATCTTACTTCGTCTTTTTAACTATTTGTTCGTCCTGAACTGAGTGAGAGGAATTTTTGAGTCACTAATTACAAACTAATTTTTAATTACTTTATAGGCATTGTGTACAATTTTTCTCAAACTTCACATTCTCATCTCATTTTAACGACTTATTAATCACACTTATATACGCTTAATTTGCTAATTAAATTATTTATTCAACTGAAAACTTGAGAAAAACTGGCAGCGTTATCGAGTAAACTATTTATCAAATTAACCTAAGCCGAGAAAAACAAATGTAGAACAGTAAACAATATTGATAAACCAAATTTTTTTTACGTCTGCAGCTTTTTCTATGATGATGAGTTTGAATTAGAAACTGTCTACATAACGCAGAAATACGTATCTAATAATAAAAAGATAACAAAATTACTCAAAAGCTGAACAGCTGAATACGGTATATTTTGAAATAATTATAAGTATACGAATACAGCTTGTTACCTACAGAAAGATGCTACATCAATATTTCAACTAATCAAGATGCAAGAATTTATAATTGGAAAAAAAAAACTTGCATTTTCGACACAAAATCTTTAAATCGGCACACTCAATAAAAATTATTCTAAGGGCACGCCAGTAGATCCATAATCTTAATATTATTAAGATAATATATTCAATATAGCCACTTGAATAAAAATGAATAGGTGCAGAAACAGATATAAGTACCTATTGTATCATCAGAAATGCACTGATGTCTCAGAACTTGATCTCACAGTACTAAAGCAACTCAATAATAAATGGTTCTGTGAAAAATGCAAGCTTCATGCAAAAAATCAAATAAGAAGATCGCTAGGGCCAGACGCCAATTCATCAGGCCTGCCAGCGAGAAGATCTTCTACTACAGATAATATCCCTGAATCAACTAGGGAAATAAAAGAATACCTTGCAGATATAAAGAGAGAGTTAATGGCTGAAATCAGAGATTTGAAAAGCGATTTGAAGTTCTACGCTGAGCAATATGAGGAGCAGAGACTTCAAAATGCTACATTTATGCAGGATATAGAAAGTCTAAAGAAGGAAAATAATCAAATAAAACTTGAATTACATAAAATCCTCAAAGAAAATACAAGAACAGAACAGGAGAAAAGATCACTTAACATTGTTGTAATGGGAATCAAGAGTAGTATGATGGAAGCAAAAACTACACCAAATGAAGTAACTAAAAGAGTACAAAAAGTCATGAAGCATATCGAACCCAATTTGGATATGAATTAAATTAATATAAAATTACTTAATTCAAATAGGGAAAATTCACCAATCCTAGTATCCTGTGCAACAAACGAATTAAGAAACAAAATTTTGGAAAGCAGAAAGACAAAAGGAAAGATCACTAGCGATAAGTGTGGACTGGCAGGCGCATACCCGATCTACCTAAACGAAGACATGACCAACGAACAAAGAGAGCTGTTTAGAGAAGCAAGAACGCTAAAAAACTTTGGATATAAATATGTTTGGGTTACATCTGGTAGAATCTACGTTAGAAAGGACGATGGTAACGAATTAAAACGAGTAACTCTTATTGAGGATGTACAAGTGCTTCAGTCGGAGGAGCAGTGTTAAGTTCACAAGTGCAGTCGCATACATTATTCTGGGATAGCTTTACACAACAAAATTCGAGGCCACAATGGATGAAATTCTTGATAGCCTGGACTATTTGGACTCTGATCTGGACGGTATGCTAGTTAGTGAAAATCTTCTTCAACAACAAATTAAATTAGAAAATAAAATGCTAAACTTGCTACATCTTAATATCAGAAGCTTAAACAAAAACTTTGATCAATTACTAACATTAACTACAACAACTTAAACTGTAATATTGAGATTTATACGGGGGACATAAACATAAATATTAGAGATTCGACCAATCATTATGCTGGTGAATACTTGTCTTTAATGGGCCGACATGGTTTTCTCCCATACATAACTTCCCCTACTAGGCTTAGCTCTTGCTTAGATCACTTGTTTGTTCGAAAGAAACTTAAAATAGGTGGCCTATCTTATACATCATTTATATTGAATACGGATGTTACTGACCACCTTCCAATAATGATAAATATCAATAGTGAACAGAATGTTGTGTCCTCTGATCTACGGGAACACATCATTAGCTATGAACAGATCGATCTTGAAAAATTCAAGCAAAAATTAAAACAACAGACATGGCGAGAAGTCACCGAGTGCGATAACGCTGAAATGGCAACGGATAACTTTA